GTGAGAATTGGAACATGCACATCTTTTGGGGTTTGGAGGGCACTACTCCACCTATTACAGTGAGCTAATGTAGGAATGACTGACAGTCAAATTTCCCTGCCAGAGGTTTTTTGATTTGGGGGAAGCTGAATGTTGATGTAAGTGAATCTCTAATTAGAAGCCTAATAATGTAAAATAATGTAAATAAATAAAAATCATAAATAAAGAAAAAATCAAAGAAAGTAAAATTTCAGCTAGTAGGGGAGAAAGGAAGATTTTTGGAGGACTGAGTGTTATATTTTGGGACTGGACTAGAGACTGATGCTGGTCTTCATCTGCAAAAAACCAGTACCTCCAGCTCTTCAGCCATGAAATAGAAGAGGGGTAAGCAGTGTGAGGCCCATGAGCAACAAAAAAGATGCCCATCCCAGAGATAGGCTAGCCTTGCTTAGCAGTTTGGTTGGAGCTCTGCATCCCTATATTGTACCTGCTTTCAAAGAGTTGCCCATTTTCTTTTCCTCCAAGACTACACATTTTAAAAGCGTCTGAGTTTTTCTGGCCTTTTTCTCCTCTTGCCATCAACAGCACCAGAAGTGGCAAAGCAGGGACTGTCACTTTTAGATGCAGGTCATTTGTAAGTTGGGCTTATCTGGGAATGTACATGAGCTGAAGTGGATCCCAAAGGCAAGAGAGGTAAGACTGAGAGGCTGGTGATGTGTCCCACATACAAGAGAAAAGAGATGTTACTCAGGACAGAGTTTGTACTGAGGCAGATGGATTTGAGGAAGATGAGCCTGTCATAAGCTTGTATTTCATCAACCTGGAAGTGAACAGCCTGGATTTGAGGAGACAGTTACACATCAGGACTTGGTTATTCTAAAATCCTGCTACTATCCAGATGTCAGATCCTATTAGCTCTCATATGACCACCAATTTAAAGAGAGACGCTAGAAACAGTCTCTGGGCTGTCGGCACAATTTTAAATCAAGTCGTCTGAACATATCTATGTTGATCTTTACAAGCCCTTTGTTTACTGTGGGCCTAGGTCTAAATAAAGATTTTTAAATCACTTCATATTTTAACAGGATGTTTAACACTCTCTTCGACATTTTCTCTAAGATCATCACATCTTAGCTCCTCTCTCCAAATGGGATAAAAGACTATTATAGGTTTGGGAATGTCAGGCCTTTTTCTAGATTTACAGCTATAAATTAAATAAGTTTTATCTTTGAGGTACATCCTTTTCTGTTTTCTGTGTCCCATTTTCGCTATCAAGCAACCGATTTCTTCCTGTTGCCTCTAACTCCCAAGACTTCTTCCTACTGCCCTTCTCAGTGCAGCACTGGTTATTACAGACCTGCTGTCCCATCTTCCTGCAGACCCATGTAGAATTCATACTCCAAGAGCTCTGCTTCTAAAAACTGGTTATCCTAATATAATAAAATATGTGAGGCAAAGTGCTAAATACCAGTGGTACTTAAGGATTATCTCTTTATACGTATCACTGATGTACGTGTGTTTGTTTCCTTATTCGCTTATTTAACTACATATTATGAACACTTATTATATATCGTCTACTATGCTAGCTGTCTTACATGTGTTCTCTCATTTTTTGGGTTTTCAATACTTTCTTTACCTTTGGCCCAAGGGATAAATGTGGTCATTCCTTACTTTATGGAAACTGCCTCAAGAACATACGAAAACAACTGCGCATATAAATTGCTTAGATACTATGATTAAAAACTGTTATAACATATTAAAACACATAGATATGTGGTATAAGTCTAACAATAAACAAAAATATTTTTAACTGTTTGGAGAGTCCTTGGTAGATGACCCTGGTGAGTTATACTTTGTGTTCTTTAGGACAAGGAATGAACCATGTTAGATTTTCATGCAACCTGGCACTGGCCATCAGGAAAGTTATTTTTGGTCAAAGAGCACTTCACTGACCTCAAATTATAACATGCAGTTAGCTTCCTGTTCTGTCATTGAGGCAGGCTAGTTCTAGTTAAGTATGTGCTGAGGTCAAAGCTGAATCGCAGCTATGTCCAAATATAGATTATTTTCTGAAAGCTGTGGCCTCTTTTCTAGGGCTGCTGTGTGTACAGCATGGGGGTTGGACTTCCGCAGAGAAGCAGCCTCTTCTTAGAGAGAGTAGGTCCAGTGAAAAACACTGACTTTTAAAATAAGGAAGAAAGTAGGAGTGTGCAAATTAAATAAAGATAAGTTGTTAAAGGTTAACTAGTTTCTCCCGGTTGTGTTATAAGCAAATGGCATAGTCATTCTCTGGTTCTACAATATTTAGATGTTTTATTTCAGTCACATAGTGGGAGCTGAGAACAAATGTGGGTAAACCAGACACAAAATACCTTCACAGAACATAAGCTAAAACCTATTCCCTTAATCCTTCAGTGTTGAATCATATGTTATGTCTGGACCATAAATGTGAGGAA